GCATACGATGATGCTCTATTTGAAAATTATTCGGGGAAAGAACTTTTAACTGTTGACAATATGGGACAATATCCTACTTTCTACCTAGCCGTTCGGCTAAAGCAACAGCAGCAATTTCGTCAAATTTATCAATCATGTCCTTATGATGGCAAAATGTCGCATTTTTAAAAATCCTACTTCAATAAATACATTGTTCTCACTATGACTTTTAAATGAAAAACACCAATAAAACTACTTTGTTTTGTATTTTGCTGTGCATATACCGATTTTGTGCCATTGATGGATATCCCATATCCGTTCTTTTCCATTATAACCATTTTCAAAGTGAGTTGCAATTACAATCAGTTCAACATTTTTTCTTCTTTCACAACACTTTATATTTTGCATGTATTAAAACATGAAGACAAGATACGTTTGTGGGAACCTCCGGATATACCTTGTTGCCTGTTCTATAGGTCATCAGATATCCCTTTTTCTATTCCTGTTGTCATCATCCCACATGTATTACTGTATTGGAAGGATTCTTGCTTTACTATATGCACTGCATACAGTGTTTATCTTTAATTTTCGTAGGTGTATCAAAGTAGAGTTCAGGTAGAAATGTTTTTGTATTTCTTTTTTTGAGTAATATATGACATCCAATATCTGATTCTAAGGAAAGATGATCAAACATACATTTTTATAATTATATTTTTCACTTTTATTCTCCATTTCATTTTTATTTATCTTTTATCAAATGATATTAAGATGAAAATTGCTGTTTTTGAGTCCAATTTTGTTCATACAACTCCTAATGTTCCAGCGTATTTATACATCCCTGGCTTGTAAATGTTTGGTTTTAAGCGTTCCTGGTGAGGGTAAATCCAGAAAACAGCTTCGGACGCATGAAATTTATTACGTGTTAAAATCATCAAGTATTGCTGTGTAATTCGACTTTACTTCATCTTATAAAGAAGCAACAATCACATACTTTGTTTATATATGTATTGAATTGTAACTAATCCAAAACCCTTGTGGCCCAGCTGAATCATATTACCGATATTTGATGCAAATAGGGTAAAGTCTAAATTTGATGGCCAGACATAAAATAATCAAACCTCTACCTGTTGTAGGGAAAATGGTAGATAAATCATCAAAGTGCATGACAATATGGACTGACGTCTGTATAAAGAACCTGGTATATAAGAGTGATAATTTTGGCATATTCCTAAATCTATTATTACATGTTTTTACCTTTAGCATTTGACTGCCGCAATATGTCAAATCTCCTTGATAAAAGTTGCAGTGTATCGATCCACAATATTAACTTCATTGCCTGATAAGATGGTTAGATTCTTGTGAAAAACTTCCTAGGTCATTTTCTCTTCTGTTTGTAATTGCAATGATTATTCCAATTACAATCTGCTACATGCCAAGAAGCAATTGTTTTTGAATCTTTGAATCTTTGAATTTTGCTATTTCCTAGATTTCTTTTGGTCTTATAACTCTTCAACTGTTATGGGTTCTTATACATCCTTGGCTCTCAAATATTCGGCTTTGATCCTTATCGGTGAAGATGAATCCGAAAATGCGCTTCGGACGCATGGAATGTATAACGTGTTGTTTTCCTTTTTGGGAATGCCCTTTAGTGTAATTGGATGAGTACAAGGTTGCATAGCACGATTTTAGCCTGGAGATTGATCAGTCATACTCAATATCATAAAGAGTACTAGGTGACAGTCTTTCAGGTAAATGTGTGTCTTACATGTTCAAGTTCATGCTTTCGCAAATTTTGTTAAAATAACACTGATCTTCAATTGGCATTCCTTTCAGGCTCCCCACTGAGTCATTCAAGCTCAGTGTTACACCGGAGGTTTGGGTTACCGAGAACACAGGGGAAACATACTGATAATTTAGAGCAAGCACTTGAGCATTTGCTTCTTGTTTACAAGCTGTATATATGTACATAGTCTGTTTAACTGATTCAGGACGATTCAAGATATCCAGCCTCTTTACACCGTTAATATTGATGAAAATGTATTTGTCAAGCAAGATGTACATCAAGCGTTCATTCCTGTAGAATATGAAATGATCGAATTATGAAAAGCTAATGTATACCTATAGTATTGCACGAATAACATGTTTCTACACTATTTTCATCTTATGAAATTTCATTGTCAGAAATGTAAGTGTTTGGCCAATCATGAAAAATATCATCATTTCGTTTCATATCAAAAAAATTCATATTTTCGGCGGTTTGCCTAGAAGTTTGTAAAATTGGCATTTTTTCCCACTCTTCATCTCAACAAAAGGTTTTGTGTAATGGGCATATAGGCTCCTCTTATGTATTTATTCTGGAAAGATGTTCTATTACAAGGCTTCTGAATGACAAATTACGTATACATATAGATAGTTCTTCTACAGTACAGGGTACTTAAGTTTTGTTAATGGACATTATCTGTTGAATTTCATATACACATTCATATAAGGAAATGCTTGTACCAAGTCAGGAATATGAGAGTCGTTTTCCATTCGTTTGATGTGTTTGAGCTTTTGATTTTGCCAATTGTTAAAGGACTTTCCGTTTTGGATTTTCCTTGGAGTTTGGTAATTTTGTTGTTTAACTTTTTTCATATGCTATGGCTAGGTGATCATAGCAGTGGACAATTTATCTTAGAACAGACGTGAGTGTGATTTACAGACCACCATCTTTCTCTTTCAAACTATCTTGGTGTGTTTTAAACTCTGATAAAGTGTTGTTTCTTTTCACTTTTTTAATTTCATCAGTTGGACTGTTAGGTTGTACAAGAATATACACATATTTTTATATTTTAAGTTTTTTAATAAATAACAACCAATTCGTGAAGAGCTCTTTTTAGAAAAGCTATGGAAAGGACACTATGCAAAATTTAGAATGCCATCAAGCAGGTTGTCGTGTATATGTATTTTTTTAAAGAACACCTCCGATGTTTGGTTTGGATTGTGCTGTTCAATTTTTGCTTTTCTGTGTAATTATTTTTTATTATTTGTCTTTTCATCTTTCATTTTGCTTGGTAATTGGCTTTTTTTTTACCTCTTGTGTATCTTATTTCGTTTTTAAAAATTCCCATATACAATTTAGTGATTAAACGTAAGAAATGACATTTGAAAATAGATAAACAAAATGTGTATATGTAACATTCAGAAACGTGTCCTTTCCCTAAATCATGTCCAATTCACCGAACGTGTTCACAATACGTCACTGTACGCCCAAATGGCTAGCTTGTGTATGAAACCTAAACGTGGCCTTTTCATAAACGGCTAATATGCTTCATATTTTAAAACGCACAAGCGAGTGACTTTTAAAAAAACACCCAAAATCGATATTTTCACAGGGACCTTTGACCCGGTCTCCAAGTGCACAAGAAGACAAATATTTCATGACTATTCAGAATAAGAATAAAATAACTAGTAATACAATGTGTAGGATTTTATAATTTGGGCTATTGTTTCTACTTTTGTCAATCATTTATTAGACTGAAAATGAAATTTCCAGTGCGTCCGGATTCTTTGTAAAACTACAATTGTATGCATTTTATTTTATCGTTTCTGTGACTATTCAGAAAATTTCGGCAATTGTCAAGAAGTCTTCAAATTTGATTTTGCTTTTGTAACTCAGTATCGTTTTTTTTTTAATCAGACGGTATAAGGATGGACATTCAAACCTATCCAAAACCTCAAAATATTGGTTGCAATAAGAATTTATATACAAAATCACTACATATCTTATTCATTTATAAGTGGCAGTGTTTGGCCTTTTATATTTTTTTATTGGTTTCCGGGTAACCCACTTTTCATATCGTCCTGAATATGCATGACATATTTGCCACGTTAAGGAGGCAATACATAAATCGGCTTTGTTACGTGATATATTTACTGCTAGTTTTAAATAGAAGTCTGTCTCAAAATATGTCCTCTTTTTAGATATTTTATTTTTAAGTGGAATATCATATTATTATAGTAGTATCTTCGACTACACAGGTTTTCTTTTAAAGAAAATGACATGACCGAAGATTACATTGTATCCTATGCATGCAAACTAGGAGGAAGGTGGTAGAACCGATACAGTTGTCATTGGGGGGCAATAATCTAATATAGATACAAATAACGTGTCGACAGATTTGCAGATCGTGAAATCGTTATTTAAGGACAAATCTCTCGAGTTGTCGACTTAAGATTTTTGTCATATAGATCAATATGCAGATTTTTTCTTGTTAATCATGTTTGACATTTCCATTTTCTCTCTGTCAACAAGATAGGTGGGATATAAGGATCTAAGGGACTCCCGGTGTAAATTTGTCAATGGAAACAATGTTATGTTGCAAAAGGGTAGATACATTGTTCCTACAACGGGTGAAATACGGACCTCCAGCCCTTAAAGAGTTAGTTCGAGTGTTATATAAAGCGCAATGTTTATTTCTTAATATCTGTACCAGGTTTTATGTCTAATTCACTATGATAAAGATCAGTGTATACCCATTAAATACATTATAAGCATACAAAACATAATTTATATCAATATAATTGAAATGCTTGTATATTAAGGGAAAATCACACAGGCTTATACAAGCTTATACATCTGTTCTCAAGACTTTTCTATATACACATGCATATATATGTAGGACATTGATAGTATTATTTGTTTAGTTTTGTGTTAGATGTTTGACTGTATATCAATACATTCTTTGACCTTGAGTTTGATCATGTGTATGTATTGAGAAAGGCGATATTTATGAAAATAATGTTATTATGATGTTCATTTACAATAGCTATAAGAAGATGTGGTATGAGTGCCAATGAGACAACTCTCCATCCAAGTCACAATTTTCAAAGGTAAACCATTAAAGGTCAAAGTACGGTCTTCAACACGGAGCCTTAGCTCACACCGAACAGCAAGCTATAAAGCCATTTACAAGTCTGAATTGATTTAATGCTCCTTTTGCATGCTTGTACCAATATACAAATGAATCATTTTATTTCAGATCAACGGCGACACTCCATTTCACACAGCTGTTAGAAGTCTAAATCGCAGCATTGTCCAATTATTATTAGAAAGAGGAGATATAGATCCAGATAAAGTAAATAAGGTATGGAATCCTTTGTTAAATTGGTTCAGTCAATCGTGAAATTTAATGTCCACATATTGATCTTATAAAATACTTTACACTTTCTTTTTATTCCTAATCCTCAAAGGGAAACATGGAGCAATGAAGCGACAGTTATAATTCTGAAATGCACATATCGTCTGCTCATTTACACTCAGAACAGAAAGGGTGCTTTAAAAGAAACGAAATATAAGTAAATAGTGAAATGATCTTCTTTTATTTGATTTGATAGATGCCAAACCATCGGAAGAAAGATTCATTTTAAATAAAATGTTTTTAAATATATCACGCCTGTCATCCTTTATTTCGAAAGATGTTAGAACTTTCCCGAGTTTAAACATTGTACATCACGTATATTATGGATGTGGCCTGTTATCGATTTCATGCATGAAGATATATTTTTTTATCACACTGCATGGAGTGTGATACGAAAAGGTGATACGAAAATTGCCTTATTTTGATTGGCTTATCCAGCATCATCAGACAATATTACGACATTTTCATTGGCTATTCTTTAAGGCCACTGATAACTTTCGTAAGACTATGTATATTTCGTCCATCAGTAATATTTTTATGTCATGATTGATTGTATAAAACAAATGACAGCAATATTGGAACACAATGAATTCAATATTTTGTCCGCATCAATTTAGAGTGCCAGAATGCTCTCGTTTAATTCAAAATATTGAATCATAAAAAAAAATCAGTAGTTTCGATAGCTCAGACTGACTCATATAACACAATTATTTGTCAGAATCAACCCAAAACTGACCATATTTGCACTTTATTATGTAAATCTTATAGTCGCATAGTAAATCAGTAATACTATTATGTCAGGAATGATTATATAAAAAAATGACGGCAATATTGGAACAGCATGTTCTCTTTTTATTCCAAATAATGAATCATTAAACAATTTCAGTAGTCTCGATACCTCAGGCTGACTCATATGACAAATTTTTTTGTCCGATTCAACCCAAAACTGACCATATTTGCAATTTATTATGTAAATCGTATAGTCGCATAGTAAATCAGTAATATTTGTATGTCAGGATTGATTGTATAATACAAATGACAGCAATATTGGAACACAATGACTACAAAATTTTGTCCGCATCAATTTAGAGTGCTAGTATTTCCTCTTTTTATTCAAAATATTGAATACTAAAAATATTTCAGTAGTTTGAATACCTCAAGCTGACTCATATAACAAAATCATTTGTCCGTATCAACCCAAAACTGACCACATTTGCACTTTATTATGTAAATTTTATAGAACACAATGAATACAATATTTTGTTCGCATCAATTTAGAGTGCCAGCATGTTCTCTTTTTATTCCAAATAATGAATCGTAAAAAAATTTCAGTAGTTTCGATACCTCAGGCTGACTCATATAACAAAATTATTTGTCCGCATCAACCAAAAACTGACCATATTTGCAACTTATTATGTAAATCTTATAGTCGCATATTAATTCAGTAATATTTCTTTATGTCAGGATTGATTGTATATTACAAATAACAGCAATATTGGAACACAATGAATACAAAATTTTGTCCGCATCAATTTAGAGTGCCAGCATGTCCTCTTTTTAATCATAATATTGAATAGTAAAAAAAATCAGTAGTTTCGATACCTCAGGCTGACTCGTATAACAAAATTATTTGTCCGCATCAATCAAAACTGACCATATTTGCACTTTATTATGTAAATTTTATAGTCGCATAGTAAATCAGTAATATTTTTATGTCATGATTGATTATATAATCTAAATGAAGCAATATTGGAACACAATGACTACACAATTTTTTTTGGATCAATTAAGAGTGCTAGCATGTCCTCTTTTTATTTAAAATATTGAATAATAAAAAAATTTCAGTAGTTTCGATACCTCAGGCTGACTCATATAACAAAATTATTTGTCCCCATCAACTCAAAACTGACCATATTTGCACTTTATTATGTAAATCTTATAGTCGCATAGTAAATCAGTAATATTTTTATGTCAGGATTGATTATATAATACAAATGAAGCAATATTGGAACACAATGACTACACAATTGTTTCCGCATCAATTTAGAGTGCTAGCATGTCCTCTTTTTATTCAAAATATTGAATGATAAAAAAATTTCAGTAGTTTCGATACCTCAGGCTGACTCATATAACAAAATTATTTGTCTGCATCAACCCAAAAACTGACCATATTTGCACTTTATTATGTAAATCTTATAGTCGCATATTAAATTAGTAATATTTGTATGTCAGGATTGATTGTATAATACATATGACAGCAATATTGGAACACAATGACTACAAAAGTTTGTCCGCATCAATTTAGAGTGCTAGCATGTCCTCTTTTTATTCAAAATATTGAATCATAATTTTTTTTTAGTAGTTTCGATACCTCAAGCTGACTCATATAACAAAATCATTTGTCCGCATCAACACAAAACTGACCATATTTGCACTTTATTATGTAAATTTTATAGTCGCATAGTAAATCAGGAATATTTTTATGTCAGGATTGATTGTATAAAACAAATGACAGCAATATTGGAACACGATGACTACAAAATTTTGTCCGCATCATTTAAGAGTGCAAGCATGTCCTCTTTTTATTCATAATATTGAATCGTAAAAAAAATTCAGTAGTTTCGATACCTCAGACTGACTTATTTTACAAAATTATTTGTCCTTATCAACCAAAAAGTGACCTTATTCGCACTTTATTATGTAAATCGTATAGTCGCATTGTAAATCAGTAATACTGTTACCACTCTGAAACTGAATGTTGAGGTTGTATCGTTGGTCGGGAGTGATAATAAAGCAGTTATACTATGAACACCAAATTTCTTAATTTTAAAACACATTGTTTGTTTGCGAGTCGTGATTCCATTGTATAGAATACTAAGTATCGTTCAGTAGGATTCAATAACAATATCCGCCGTCAACGATGCACTGTACATCTACGATTCGGTTTCAATTATGATTAAAACAGTTATAGAACCAAACTGTATTGTCCTCTCCATTTTCTGTCTGAATTTCTGTCCAGATAGTATCCCAGCGGGTAAACATAATTCAAAAATGAAAAAAAAACAAACAAACAAATATAACTCACTTAAAGATCAATTTGAGATTTAATAATTTAGGAACTCATCTCCTTGTCATTTGTATTTTTTTTTATCTCGTAATGCAAACCAAAAATTTGTTATTTACATGCATACCAACAAAAGTGGTACTCGGTGTGTTAACATGTAACAACAATTAGTGTAATTATTTTGTAGCGTTGCTTGCTAGTTAATACAGTAATATTGTGTTTAGAACAAATAGTTCAATAAACTGAAATCGTCTTAAAGAAGAATTCGTTCTAATTTACCTACTTGGGTTGTTATACTTAGTTCTTATTTGGCTTTTTGATGTTTCTGATTAAAAGGTCACTGCAGAGTCGTTTGTAGACGAAAAAATAAGGCGTACAAAATAATAAGCCTTGTTTCGTTGATGAGCTTTTTTTTTTAAAATACAGCAATACCGAATAAACTTGAAAGGTATGGATGATATTAGATACGGCTTCTGTTAAATATTGGGCCTGGTTCATATTGAATTGTCGAAGAAACCGCATAAACGTGTTTCAACGATAGAATGTCATTTCGTTTCAGAAATTACTAATAATTGCGCATACCCTAATAAGATAAATAAATCTAGACTACAGGTTTACATACCTAGAAAATTATCCAAGTTGTAACATATTATTGATCTAGATTATTCTGCCTCCAGTATTTATTAAATGGAAAAAAAAAAAACACACATAATCCATAAACATATATGTATACATATTATTTATAAACTATGAAAGATCACTTAAAGACACAAATACCTATCAATTCATTCCCACTACAAGAAAGACGTGCTCAGACAATGACTTCTACAATAACATGAATAAATCCGAACGTACTTTATTGAAGAGTTTAAAGTGCATATACCACTATTCATAAATACTCCGTTTAAAGAGTAGATTGCTTTTTGATCTTTAAATTCTGCCTTCAAATTATTGGGTAAGACGGCGATAATGAAAGGAAAACATCACAAATGTAGACTCTGAAGATTTGTTTTCAATATTTAAGATGTATTTTAAGTTAGCAAAGATCCAATAAATACGATCCATTATTACATGGACAGTTAATCGGACTTATTCTATATTTTGTTTCAAAACATTATTTTGTTTAAATTTGCTCTTTTCGGTATACGGCCATAATTTTGTAATAAGTGCAAACATGTATACAATGGGAATATTTTAAAAACTATAGTGTATTGATTTCAATCCAGGAAAATAAGACACCAATCGATGTTTTTGAGGCAAGCAATAGGAATTCAGAAACAAACGAAACTGGAAGAGCAATACAAGACTTAATTAAGGTACACTTGACGTATAAATATTATATATACATATATGTTATTTTATTACAATTATGAATATTAATTGGGAGACTGTATTATCAATGAGTCATGTGCTAATCTAGAATTGTTATCAACTGCAGAATCAAACTATCTACACTGTGTTTCCTTGATTGACGTGTGTTTCAAGAGGTGGGTTTATTATCACGATCACGCATTTAGTTATCATTTACACTTGATATGATACTGGAAAAAACAATCGACAAATGTATAGCAAGCTGAAGAAAATTGAATACAGAAACAAACACTGATATTAAATAGAAAAATAAAGACGGCTCATTCAAAATTTCCAATATTATTGCATAGAAATTCATTTAATGTGTTTCATTGCAAAACAAGCAGGAAAGCAACTAAAGCCTATGCGTCTGTAAACAATTGTTACTTACATCCGTCTGTTTATGCACAATTTTCATTTCTTTGATACTTTTTTGAATTTCTTTAATACTAATCTGTGATTTTTTAGAAATCAGCTGTATTCGACCTAAAGAGGTTTGAATGTCATTGTATGACCTAGATTTGTACAAAACCCATTACAAATGGTTTTGAAGCTGTTTGACTTGTTAAAA